AAGGTACCACTGATACTTGGCAGAGCTTTGAAATTAGAAATGAGACTGCCATTGTGTGGCTGGAGGTCATCCACGGACTTCACTGTCATGGAAAGCTTACTTGGCATTGACGACAAAGAGTGATCCCTCGATCTGAGTAACTGCGCCTTTGATAAATGATTAAGTTTAAGTTTAAGTTTATTACGTCTGCGAAAGGCACACGTTAGAAACAATAAAACACAACCAAAATCTGAACTGAACATGACATACAGCGAATAGATAAAACTACCAAAATAGTAGGCGCACACCACGATGTTTGATAATCAGTCTCATAAAGCGCTAGAGTACTTCATACTTCAGCAGGGTCTTGGCCACACGATGTTTGAATTGAGGTAGAGACAAGCTAGATGATATGTTTTTGGCTAGCTGCAAGTACCGACTACCCGCTCTGAAAGTAAAGGTTCTTGCCCGCAGATTTGTTTTGGGTCGCGAGAGCGAGATTTTCATGAGCCCTCCTCTTGTTCTAGAGCGAGTCATTCTGAAAACGTTGGGAGACTCACCCAAGTCCCGTATCATTTTATGGACTAGGCAGACATCGAAAACTTTGCGCCTTGATTGTAGCGAAGGAAGCCCCAAATACCTATTCCTAATTGCTGCGTTTGGGATTTTGGAATACAAGAAACCTCCAATTCGGATAAGTAATTTACGAGTAAAGTTGTTCTGCACTTTTTCAAGTGCATGAATGTGCTTTTTACTCGAAGGGTTGAAGACCGTGGTGCTAGATTCTACTAAAGGTCGCACATAGGACTTGTAAGCTTGTAGCAGTGCTCCCTTACTAGAAATTGATAATGCCTTGAAAATCTGAAATGTGCGTAGCTGAGCTATTTTAATTCTTCTCGTGATGTGCTCTGAAAAATCTAGCTTGTTATTATAGTAAAAACCAAGATCTCTGACAGATTCGACTGGAGAAAGAGGGACACCACTGACCGTGTAGGAATGCAGTGGTGGTGGAGTTCCAGACACCAAATTCATGTACACCGTTTTTTCTGGAGCCATAGGCAACTGCCACTCTTTGGACCAGTTCACTATCAGGTCGATGGCTTCTTGCAGTTTTCGCGAATCACTCAAGTCTGAGATAGGTTTATAGATCTTCAAGTCGTCTGCGTATAACTTTGCAGTGACGCCTGCTCCAAGAAGCATGTCGGGAAGTTCAGCCGTAAAGATATTGAAAAGAACTGGCGCGAAAGCACTCCGCCTTGAGGCACGCCGCTTGCTACCCGTCTAACATCAGAAAATGAATGATCGATTTTAACCTGGAACGTTCTGCCGCTCAGATAATTGGATATCCAATTTACAACGAGAGGATGGAATCTTAGAGCTTCCAACTTGTTAATCAGTTTCTTATGTGAGACTCTATCAAAAGCTTTTGCGAAGTCAAAGTAGATGACATCACAAGAGCCTTTATTGTCAAGAATTTTAGTCCAGTCGTCAAGGCATTCGATCAGGTTTGTTTCAACGGATCGGCCGGAAACAAAACCATGTTGTTGCTTTGAAATGACATGATTGAGCGTCAGATGGTGATTGACATGGTCTTTCAAGACTTTTTCGAAGAGCCTACAAAACAGAGATGTGATGCTCACGGGTCGATAGTTTTCGGGGTTGCACGAAGGTTTCTTCTTGAGAATAGGGTGTAACGAAAGAGTGTTTCCATCGTTCAGGAACCTCACTGAAAGTCAACGACTGATTAAATATATAAGCAAGAGGTCCGCAGATGACAGAAGCCAGCTTTTTTATGACAAGGAACGGCACAAAATCAGGAGTGACGGAAGAAGAAGCAGGCCATCTTTCGATCAAATCAAACAGCATGGAACCAGTAAACCAAGGGAAGTCCTCCATAGGCTTCGAAGCAGGACTAAAGGAAGTGGGAACATTTCCATCATCTTCTTGAAAGACGCTCTCGAAGTGATCAGCTAGCATATTGGCTTTATCCGTAGATGAGATAGCGACTCTATCACCTTTAATCAAGCAGCCAATTCGTTCAACATCGTCGATCCTTCTACTCAAATACCTATGAAAAGAGCGCACGTTACCGGAGTCAATAATTTTCCTTTCGATGTAACCATTGTACCTTTTAAGATGTTTATAAAATTTTTGCGTGAAACTTCTATACTCATCCCAAGTATTCAACCGTCTGCCTTTTGGAGGACTTTGAAAATTTGCCTCATTAACTACAGTTCGCCTTTCCTCTACCTGAACTGGCCATCCGAGATGCCCCCCCCCCTGCTTCCCAGGATCACTTGTGCCAGACGAGTTTGAAAAAAGGTGACATTTACAGCTATTAGGAAGCTTGGGCCTAGTAGATTTCCGTAACCTCAGCTCCTGCAAATATCGTACTTTATGTGGAAGGAAGTAATGCTCGTTTCAAATGCAGCATTTCCATGTCGTTCTCTTTCTTGGGCGTGTTCGAGCAGCGAATGCTTCAATGATATCGCGCAACGCATACGCAAACATTAGGGTGGTGTCAGAGTCCGCGATCCGTCGCGCGATTCGCGCGAATCGCAAAATCGCAAACGCTCATCTGAGCAGTGAATGAACTGAGCATGAAAAAAGTAGGATCGCGAACAGTGTCGTCAGTCATCAGTACCAAGCGGAAATGGCATAGGGACTGGAGAGCACCTCGCAGTATCGATCGAGGCATCCGCGATTTCTTCGATCCATCGTGCGACTGGCGTTGCGCGACAACTCGCGAAGTCTGAAACCAGCATTAGTGTTGCGCGGGCTCTTATGCATTTGGAACCTCGATCAATGTTACCGGAAAGCCGCTAAATTGATATATTCTGCGACATTCGATTAACTCATGTTCTTCATTTCGTTAACTTCCTTTCAATTTATTCCTCATATGGTGGTTCTCCTCGGCTATATACTGTACTTTTGGAGAATCGTATCGGGACATTCCTCCCCAAAGAGGGGAGGGGGCAGTATCGTGAAAAAGTCAGAAGTCGATTGTTCCCATGGTAACCCTGACTTACCTCGAAGCATGGCGTTGTTGATTTTGGCCGAGCCTGTGATTTCGCTCCATTCATCGATGTTTGTGTAGATACCAACAGATAGGCCATAGTGCTGAAATAAAGCCCTATTATAGAGAAACTGCACAAAGGCCAAAAGGCACTTACATTGGCTCGTTGGAGAATGCTGTTGAGGAAGTTGACGTTTACTGATTTGGACCCCACGTAACCAAGTAATCGGCGATGACCGTCACCGTGGAACCACTATCTTTTGTGTGGGTACCTCTTTTCTGCGAAAGGACCAATCCTCTTCTATCGAATTATTGTAATTGGTGGTGTTCTATTACTTTTGGTCAATCTTCAGACCTGCTTCCTCAAAGGAGTTGGGGAATAACGTCATTGACTAACAGTGGTGGAATTTGGGCTGTGGGAGTGACAGTGACGTCATCGCAACCGCTCCGCCTCCACCCGCTGCTTTTTATTTAGCTAGCCCGTGAATTTCCTCCGATGTTTCCTCTACTGCATGAATGTTATTTTTTCCACTTTCCAGCTGATCGTTTTGACGTAGGTCCACTTTTCAGCTTTGACCCATGGCCATTCCCAGAACATACGAGCGCTATTGCTCCCATCACATTTGGCGAGCTGCTTCGCTTTTCTGGTTTTTTCTACCACCGAGCTTTTTTCTCCTCTTTGCTCTCCTTTCGAGCAGACTTGCGAAGGCTTACTTCTCAGATTGTCCTAGGCCTCACTTCGCTCACCTGAATCCACACGGATTGAACGTCAATGTTGGAGTTTATCAGATTGAGGTACATCTCATCGAATTGCTGAGCGCCGGTTTTGGATGATTGAGGCTGAGGGGACATGTAGGCTTCAGCGCCAAGTCCAGCTGAAAAATAAGAATGACTGGAGTTAGGCTGAGAGAAATTGAATTTACCACAGTTGAGAGAGTCTGCTGCCTTCTTTGATGGAAGGCAACGTCAACCCTACCAACCTACCAGAAATTTAATGCTTACCAGCAATAGCCAACTGAATGTTGCTAACGGCGTACTCATCGATTTGTCCTTGACCAACATGAGTGTAAGCCCTGCAAGACGAGGGTTTACGTAAAAAACGGGAAAGAAGATGAAGACAGCATTCGGGGGGGGGGGTCGAAAGACTGGCTGCTTTTACTAGAAGGTCTCAATCGCGTACAGCTCCCAACCTTTGTTAGTGTTTTTTGTGTACGCCTTTACCTAGCGCCCTTGTGTGGCTCTTGCAAACGCCCAAATAACGCACCAGACCATCCATCCAGAGCTTGCTCATTAGTTCGCAATAGAAATTCATCAAAAACCTAAGCGCGTCCAAGGTCAGGGATCGAGCTAACCGTCTCAATGGTGTACCTGATGAAAGCAGTACTGTACTGATTGCTACGAATGCACTGGAATCCCGCCAGTGAGATCGGAATTAACAAGTCGACGGCGTAAGCGGTGGAGGCCTGCAAAAAGTTTCGAATGAATGAACAACTGAAGCAATGGATCACAGAAGGTGATTTGTAAGGCAGTCCTGAATAGCGAGGGAAGAATTCTTACCAGATCGGAGGTTATTTCTTGTTCCGCTGAGACCTTCTGAAGAACTGGACTCGCGAAGGTGCTCAGAAACAACACACCAACAGCACAACAAGTCTTCGCATTGCTGCAAAAACAACGCTCAAAGACTGGCTAGTGCAAAATGTTACCAGGCGCTGAGAAAGTCCCGAGTAAGTGACGAGGTTTGAGCGTGCGATTAGAAAATCACTTATCACCACTCAATGATGACAGAATGACGATAAGCCAGGAAGACGGAAATGAAGTGATGCAGAGCGCCATAAAACTTTGAGTAATAAATGAAATTAATATTCGTAAGATGTTAGGCTGTCAATAACTGCTTAGAAACCTGAGAGAGCGGTTTCGTTATACGACTGGGGTCAGGTGTGTTTTACTCATAAGCCAGCATTCTTGCGATAAAAATTCATGATTTTGAAATCTTGATTAGAAACTAAAGAATCTCTCAGATCGCAGTCAATAAATACGCTTCTGAGAAACAAAGAGAATAGTCCAGTTGAAACCTTTTAGACCTGCTTTAATATATTCCGTTTAATGGTTTGCAGGGCGGAAGTGGTGTGCAGTGACAAGTGGCGCGCTTCACCACGCGAGCGGTCCGGGATCAAATCCTGGGTCGTGAGTCGCCCGGGCCAACCAAGCCTTCCATCCCTCCGGGGTCGGTTAATTGGTACCAGACTTGTCTGGGAGGATAAAAACACTGACTTGTACATCGGCTGGCCCCGCAAAGTCATTGTATAGGCCACATCGCATTCAAAATGCCACTGCGAATGTACAAATGGAAGTAGAATGCGTGCCGCATCCCAAAAGGGATTGATCAACGGCAAATGCTTTATCCTTTATCCTTTTTTTAATGATTTAATTATAATAAATTGCGGTTCATGTTCATTATATTATATTATTTACTTATTCTATTAACTTCATGCCAGTAACTTTATTTTGTTCTAGGGTTTGAGTTTGTGAATCAAACTCCAAGGATATTTGTTATGTTTATAATGTTGAGTAAAGGATAAAGCATTTGCCGTTGATCAATCCCTTTTTGGGATGCGGCACGCATTCTACTTCCATTTGTACATTCGTAGTGGCGTTTGAATGCGATGTGGCCTATACAATGACTTGCGGGGGCCAGGCGGGCCAGCCGATGTACAAGTCAGTGTTTTTATCCTCCCAGACAAGTCTGGTACCAATTAACCGACCCCGGAGGGATGGAAGGCTTGGTTGGCCCGGGCGACTCACGACCCAGGATTTGATCCCGGACCGCTCGCGTGGTAAGCGCGCCACTTGCCACTGCACCACTTCCGCCCAGTTTTTTAATGTTGATTTGTAAAAATGTTATTAACCATGGCATAACTTATACAGAATGTATCAAGTAAGGCTCTACGGGGAAATCACCCTCCTTATTAGTAGCTTTACATGAACATATACAAAACTCTAGTCTACTGTACGGATTTTCTCATGCGATGGAAATGTTTTTGTGCAACAAGACTGTGACCTGTCCCATTTATGCACCCATGAAGGAATTTCTCATTCTATCGTTTGAAGTTTTAATGCTGACACCTGAGCGATCTCCGGCTCTGCCTACGGTAGCCTCCCTATGGCATCGAACTTTCCGTGACATCAAGTTCCCATGGGGGAGAAGAAGGGCTTCGGGAAGTATGTATTTTTTGATGACTTGATTTTTATTAACTCCGTCTTGAGCTCAGTGGCTCTTTCCGTACTTTGTCCTTCCCTTTTTCCTGCAAGGCGATCAGCCTGACTGATAGGGTGAACTCTTGGATGGTGTTATCATAACTGCATAGTAAGACCTTTAAAGTTTTCTCGGGCTGGAGCTTCGAGCTGAAGTTTCCGCACTTTTTCGGCGCACAACTCAAACTAATAAATAAAGCAAGCTGTTCAGGCTGATTCACATAACGTGGGTCGGTTAATGACACCGAACGCAAGCAGTGACAACCTTGATTGAAATTGGCAAGGGCTTCTTCATCCTCCTTCTTTCGACGGAACGAGTAGCGTTTTGTTAAGTAAGTTGCATCTGTTTTTGACCATATCAGGCTTAGGCAAAGGCGAAGAGGGTGACATTTTGGTAAATTTTGAACAAGTTCGACGAGTAATTGCGACTTCTCGCTGTGGTCACTATCCAAGATAAGGTCCAGCATGACTCAGTTAACACTGAGTTTTGTCCTGAATATCCTGAAGTAGTAACAATTGATCTGTTCATTGTTGCTTTCAAATAAGAGTGCTAGCGGATATTTATTGCAAAATTAGATTATTGTTTAATCTCAGCTTTTCCGGTGAAAGCTGCGGCTCCTAGTCCGAGACCACCAACGATGATTTGTTGATCTCCCTTTTCACGCCTAGCCATTCCTGCGACGGCGGCCGACGATGTGCTGTAGATGTCTCTGAAATCCATCACAATGTATTTAATTTGACACATTTCATCAACAAGCAAAACACAGGCATATACAGGGGGGGCCAAAAAAAAAAGACATTTTGCCTATGTCGGACTTCGGCTCTTTTTTCTTCGCAGAGATTGCTGTCGTTGACGGGAGTTCCTCAGCAGAGTATTCCCTAAGTGTTCCCTCTATAAGTGAACGCAGGCCCTCCTTCACTGCCCTCACCGTCTTCAGAATATGACGTCATCTGTCACCGTCGTCAGGCTCAAGGAGGTCTACCGTAAGAGCTTCAGCCTGAAGCTCTTACGCAATTTCGTGAATCGATTTAATGTTGGATAGTTTTCTAGAGGCATTAGCTACCACTGTGCAAATCCCCTCGGAACTAGCTTTCCAGTAAGGGTCGTTATGGTACACGATCCTTCGAAGACCCCATTGAGATCGACCAGTGCACCATGTTTCCAGGGCTAATTCTTCTGATGCCGTCCACGTACGTGGCCACTATGAAGATTTTCTTATAGAATGGAATGCGCTCTTTAATAATAAGTTGGGAACCATTCGGTCTGAATTGAGCAAATGTGCTTAAATCCATCTGGAAGTGGAGACAAAATGTTTTTTTTATTGGCCCCCCCTGTATATCCCAGCGAACTGCAACTGGTTAATGGCAGTGAACACGATAGCTGGAGGGTGGCGGTTGCGATGACCTCATTGGACATCACTAGTGGACCAGGCCTCTCAGCGCGCCGGGTGCGTATTTGGGAGAGTCCCCACGCTAATCATGCTCAATGACGTCACCAAATAGCTCCGCCCTCCATCCATCGTGTCCACTGCCTTTAGGCTGAAAACCTTCAAGTTGGTCAATTCGTATGCGATTTGGTAGTAGGCGTCGGAACGTTGGAGTGCTCCTCAAAAACTCGTTGCGTTTCCCCTACCTATTCACAGTTATTCCGCAGACGCTTTCGACCTGAGCGAATTGTTTCACTGAGGGAGAAGTCCATCCTGCAAATGAGAGGAAGTCACTGAAGTTGGCAGGAGTCTCGTTTGCGATACTCCACTGCCGTATGTGCTCCAGTACCTAAAAGATAGAACAGTTACCCGAATGTATTTAGAGCTGCGGCAATGAGAAGCGTCTTGAGAGTAAGGCCTAAGGCAATTACCAGAGGCATTGGCGGTTGTTGAACTGTTCGCTGAGCCGGTGATTTGATTCCATTCATTAATATTTGTGTAGATTCCAATGGACAGACCATATTGCTGAAATAGCGCCCTCTCAGGATTGCAGTGCTAAAGGGCCGAAACGCACTTACATTTGCTCGGGTGAGAATGCTGTTGATGAAGTTGATGTTGAGTGTGCTGGTCACGTACCAGTTAACGGGGGACGTTACCTGAACCATTTGCTTTCAATCTGTACTTCTTTTCAAAAAAATTTAATCGTAGTAGATTTTGGTGACAAATGTTCCAACTGTTTTTTAACACTACTTTTTGACCCCGCTCATCAGCGACTTGAAGATCGTCTGAGCGCGACGGTGGCTGGAGGGTGGTTTGATGGTTCTGATGACGTTATTGACCATCATTTGTGGTCTTAAGGGCAGAATTTACGATGAAAAGTTAGCTCACTGGAAATAAGGGTAGAGGTGGTCAGTGGAGCAGGGATGAAGAAGAAACCATTTGAAACGGCCCGAAACCCGAGAAATGGGACCCCTTCCTTGCCCGTTGATTTGCGCATTGATGCGACTCTCATCGCTGTGCCCTCTTCAACACTACGCTCTCTCTGCTATCTAATCACTCGCCACGTATAGACCTGCGGTCAGAATAGTCGGTGGGCGTACCCCGCCAACCGCGCCAAAAGTGAGCCATGCTAGATCGCCGAGGTCAAAGTCTTTCGCTGCCAATTGCGCGTCGGTCAGCACCCTCAGGAGGTCCGCCTGTCTCCCAACTATGCAATTTTCCCCCTTCTTGGGGGGTTGAGTCTTCATGTTCATCGTAGAGTTCTTGTCATTCATTAATGTGTCTTCCCGCGCTTGGGTGTGGATGGGACACCAAAGCCCTCCCTTCGATAACGTTTCAAATGGTGTAAACTATAGCCCACGCCCTCCACCATTGTGACTCATTCCCGGACGTCGTGCCCCTTTTACTTCCCAGCTTGTCCATCATTCAGAGTCTGTTTATCAAGCTTCTTTACTAAGGCCCGCTTCTTTACCATGCCCTTTCCTCTGACTTCTCGATTTGACAGAGATCGCCTTCCCAATAGATCTTACGATTGCTACTTAGCGTTTCAATTTTCTTTGCTCTCTTACGTCTATCATTTCTAAGGATCCTGTCTTGCCCTGGTACTGCAAGTGGCCTATAAACGACCGCCTCTGAGTTTTCTAGTTTTATTGCTCACCTGGATCCATATAGATTGGACATTAATGTTCGAGTTTCTTAGATTGTTATACATTTCATCGAGTTGCTGACCACCGGTTTTGGCTGAGTTCGGTTGAGGAGTCATGTAGACTTCAGTGCCGAGTCCAGCTGAAAGAAGAAACTATCTCGAGAGGGACTTGAAGGCAGAGTCAACCCTGCGTTGCGCAGTTCGCAACGGCACGTTGAGAGATCCTCAACGCACGCTGTATGGGCGGAGAGACGCAGACGGCTCGAGCATGCGAGTGTGAATGTTCGCGCGAGAGAACGTGTCTAATCGGGCGAAACTGCGCAACGTGGCCGTTGAGAACTGCGCAACGCAGGGTTGACTCTGGAGAGCATGGGAGCTCGGGGAAGTGACGAGATTCAACGTGCATCCGGGAGAGAGTCCCGCCACTTTCAAACAGTGTCAAGTCGCTGGTACGCTAGTACACAGCTCGATTCGGTGGTGCCACGCTCGTATCCCGCGATTCGCTGGTTTCGCAAAGTTTGACACCGGCCCCAGGCATTCGGTACCTATTTTACATGCACTCGCTTTTCTCTTGCCGAGCTTACGTATATCTCGAAGTGTATATGATCGATTCCAGGAATATCTACAGCACTTCATCGTCAGCCGTCGCTGAGCAGGCCAGACATGAGAAATCTGATCACATCGTCGTCGGTGGCCTGGGACTCGCAAGCTTAACTTCCACCGGGAAAGCAGAGATCAGACAATCCTAGATTTCGGATAAATATTCACTATTAATTTGAAACTGGTTGGTTCAAACAGTACGAAACGGCTCGAATGGTCGAAGGCGTCCGTGATATAGATACAACTAAACAAAATGTTCACGAAATAAACTTCAGTAAGATTTTTAGTGACAACCGACCAGCTTCAAACCAGAAGTTTGAGTTCTCTTGCTACCTTCGACGAATATTTTGAAACAAACAACCAATTAGGAACTTGTGCATAGAGCTTTACTCCAAAACACAGGGAAGTTGCGGGAGGAGGGAGTTGAAGAGACTGCAAAAAAGCATGCTCCTAGAACAAACTGGTGGGGTAACAGCAGTCGCGAAACTGTGGATGTCGACTGACTGCAAATGAAAGAAGAACCAAAACAAATTGCCGATGGAGCCATTAGCAACTATTCCCTCTCTTCCATTCTGAAATAAGGAAGAGGGGAGGCCAGACTAGTTGTCTGAGCTTGCTTGCTCCATGGCCCAACTATTACGGATATTTGAATTAGCCGCTACGTCGTAGCCCACGTTGCGTGTCATGGGTATGCACTAGGTATCTCGTCCATTAGCCCTTATTAGACGTCATTAGCTCACTTTATTGAGCCCTAGGGTACCCCCCAGGAGGCCCGTCGCGCGGCAAGAAGGCAGAGTCGGCGGACGAGTTGCAGCGCGTGATGTGCGATGTAGGACGTGCAATGGGACATTCTATTTAACTTGACGCGAAATCCCTATAGTACGCGCGCGACTCGTCCGCTGACTTTGCCTTCTTGCCGCGCGACGGGCCTCCTGGGGGTACCCTAAGCTCTAACGCCATCGTCGCGCATTTTTGAGCCGCGATAACGGCACATCTGTGTTACTCGTGGACTTGCCCACCCCATCCTTGGAACAGATTCTTGTACATGACCTTATCTGGGGTGGAGCTTCGAATTTCGCTCGTTCAGCAGAAACCAGCCCCTGTCTATCGTTCTCACCATCTCCAATACATCTATACGACGTCGTCGATAAATTCAAAGAAGCCAATTATCAATGTCAAA